TGGACAAACAGTTACTTGCAATCATTATAGCAATCATTGTTTGAAGTAAATACTGACAATCACGAGTAGTAGGTACTTACTACTTGAGGGCCTGTTTTAACTGCTGGATAAGTTTTGCTTAATGTAAAGGCATTGATACACATGCTATTTTAAGCAAGAAAGAGTAATATGCTTCGGTAGATAACAAATATATATTTAATATCCGTCTGGTAGATTATTTAAAAATATTAGACGCGTATTTTTTATATTCTTACAGAAACATATATTATCGACGATATATTGATTTGAAATATCGTGTGACGTCACTTTTTTGTACGTTTTATACTCTAAAATGACGTAGCCAGCTCCCACTCGTGTTATCTAAATATTGTTTTGTTATAAGACAAAATAAAAAAATACGTGTCTAATATTTTTCATTACCTAACTGACGGACTAATTAGATTTTTAATTTTCATACCCTGTCATCATCCCTTTGTCTCTTAGTAGTAATGTGTTTCAGAATGTTGCTCAAAATTAGTATGTTCATTCAGGCATGCTTGCGAATCGACAAGCGTTTTTGCATGCTCTTATTTAGCATGCTATTAAGAGCATTTATAACAGCACCTTGAATGTGATAGCATGCTAATAGGTTCCTAATATCGGCAAAATTTACAATGGTACATTTTTTAAACCAAATATTGTGACTAAGTCGCTATCCGTCGGGAATTTGCCATGTGGTTGCTTGCGCTGACTGATCGCATAATGATGGTCGACTGCCAACTTTGTCGATTGCAGTTAACCGACTGGAAACCAAATCTGGAACGGTATTCGGCAGTAGCATTTGCAAACTCTCAACTCATCCAATGAGACAATGAGTCGAGAAAAAAATATATTTTTAAAAAGCCCATTAATTAAGCCAAGTACTGTCAATTTGCTGAGTCCACTGACGTGCAGCGGTCAAGAGCCACGCTCATAGAAAACAAAAGTGATTACAATGATAAACAAGAACATCGTGGTGCGGAGAAAGTCCGGCCTCCTCGACTGTGACGACCAGATAATCGAACTTCATACAGGGTTGCCACTTCAATCAACATTTCCCATAGACGTTAGAGGAGTTACTACTTATGTTACAGGGCGACAAACGAGCTGACGGATCAGTTCATGGTAAGCAATGGGGGCTATCGTATTTTTGCCCTCAAGATGTCACTAGTGTGGACCTCTCGTTCTTCATCCAGTTCATCCAATAGGGAATTAGCTAGTGTACACTATTGGTCGTTGAATTTTTTACAGCCAGAATGATTGGATGCAAATAGTTCTTTCTGGATTAGTGCCCTCTAGTAACTAAAAAAACGGTAGCCTCCATAAAAGCCGCACATCCGCAAGACCATAGCAGTTACAAGTGCGTTGCCAGCCGTTAGGAAGTTTGGAATTCGAGGATTAAGGATAGGGGCGGGTCCTTCGGTTCATTTAGGTACTCATAGAATGAAATACTAAACAAACGTTGCTCACGCTAGGTACTCCTATCTAGTCAGCCTATCCGAGGTGAAGCATGGCTGTCCCATGAGCAAAAAGGTTTCAAAATTTGTATACATAGTGTCGTTTAGGAAAAGATGACGCATTCTAAAATCAAGTTTTGTAGCAATTTGTTACAGAGCCTACGTGAATAATATAAATGGAGGTCAAAATATTTGTAAACACATAATTATTTTGCTTGCCTCTAGCGGTTACAATAATTAACTGCCTAGTCGATAATTAGATGTATGATTTATCTAACTGAGAAATAGTAATAACTAAAATTCTCAAATAAAAAAAAATTAAATAATACAAATCTAATGTAGTCTTACTTATCTATACGAGGAAAATGGGGAATTTTGTGTGTACGATCGTTATTTAGTATTTCGATATGAAATTGCTAAAACTTTCGCTTGAAATATTGCCAACCCTAATTCTTAGAAGATACAAAGCACTTAGATACTGTCAAAACACAGCCACACAATTTGCAGCTCTAAAACAGTACACTAAGTGTCCAATTTCCTTGCTACTCATTCAGTTTGGAGATGAAATGTAAATGGCATTTGGCACGCAACGTCATATCATGTTGATTAGGTGCAATTTGAAGGTTGGTACACCTGCTCATGTGCAGATGGTGGCACAGATTATATAATGTTTGTGTTTTCAATTAAAACCTCTTTGGTCATGTCGTGTGTGGTCATTAAGATGACTGTGCATAAAATTAGAGATGATTTTGGTATACTTAAGGAAGTAAATTAATTCTAAATTGTGTGGATTGAATTCATAAGTCGACTTTTAAAGAAATGTATCGTAAAACTGAGAAATCTGTGCTATTTTAGCTTGGTGACAAAAATCACCAGAGACAAAATGTCTATCATAATGTGATTGTAAACGAAATGCTGGAAGCTTTCCTACTCAAACATTGAATCAAGCTAAATATTATTATGCTTGAGGAATCGTGTACCGCTGTCTTTGATATGATTCCCTAAAACAATGAGGATAAGAATGAGAGAGAATAAAATAGGCGCTTAGATTTAGAATTATTTTGGTCATGCAATTGACTCAGTAACGATCTATTTTGTTTTGAGTGGGGAAAATCATCCAATGACTACTCCGCCTTGGGTTAGACGAGAGGGAGTGTCAGACTCTTACTGACTAAATACCACCCCGTTCCTACTCCTGTTTCTTACCGGAGCTAGTCCAGTACAGATCGTCCGCAGTCCGAGTCGGACATAATAATGACCTGTCGTATTGTTGTATACATTCGCAAGATAAGTGAGCCGCCATTTTGTTTCAAGATGTAAATAGTATATGTAATGAGAGGAAATCAATATCCGCAAGTAATGAGTTTACAATGAGTTATCTGGTGATCGGATCTTAATCTCATTTGACCTATTTGTTTGTGAATCAAGCTGTGGATGGTATCTAGCAAATTATTTTGTGTTCAGAAGATCATTAAGTTGTATGGTCTGTGCTATTATTTTTTGCATGTTGACTAATGTTTATTTAGTTCTGAATAGTTTTTGTTTTATTTCACTGTGATGCTGATCTCAGACAGGAGATTATCTATTTTGAATTTTACTGTGTTGAGGAAGGTTATGTCAGATCATTATCTGTAAACCACCCTGTACCTACACACTATAGATGCATTAACTCGTCGAGTACCGGTTTTGTAGACACAATTATAGAACAATAGGTTGCGGTCACCGGTGACCGCTTGGTGTTTGACAGTTTAAAGTGATTTGAATTTGAATTTGAATTTAATATTCTTCACACTTTTACCTACGAATGTGATACAGAGATCTTAGTACAAGTTCGGCGCAGTGATTGGTTGATTTATTGGCGCCGGCCAATCAGAGTGCCGAACGCGTTCTCGTTTCGAATACTTCAAACGTAAATCAAACTCGTACTAAGGCCTCTTTAAGTACTTAATCATTACCAAGTTGTAATTGGTTGATACTGTTTATCTCGTCGAGTACCGGTTTTGTAGACACAATTATAGAACAATAGGTTGCGGTCACCGGTGACCGCTTGGTGTTTGACAGTTTAACAAATGTATCTATAATTCTGTTCAGAATTCTTAATACTTTATAAATAAGTACGTAAGATTAAAATTTCACATAAAATAAAATAAAATTGCAGTTTCAAAGCGTCAATTACAAGACAACTTGGAGTTTGACACACTTTCTTGTAATAATTGAAATTAATGTTATTACAATCCACTAGAGAGACTTTCTATTGAAGTAATATCTTCCAACTAGACGGCGAAACTGATCTTATTTGTCGATACGAGCGTCCGAAGTAATGTAACATGATTACACCAATCATTACATCGTTACTCAATTGTTTTCATCAACACAACGCCATCACCGCAGATCAGCCAGCACCGCGTTTTCTTTTTATTTATTATCTGTGGCATGTTCTCTGAAATCTGACAGCTGTCAAAATACATGGAGGTCGTCAACGTATCAAACTTCTTATAGTAGCAAACACCACTGATCAATCATGTTATCTAATTAGGAATGACATGAGAATTTACTGCATATTTGTTGTTATTGCCTGGTTAGATGATTAATCACACATAACA